GATTACATTACTTTGCACTCCTCGCTGCAATTGTGAGCATTCTAGTTGCTCCACATCCTCGGCAGCAGTTGGTATTACCAATTTTTACATCAATTTTTCTAAATTTAAGGATTATAATAGGGGTATAGTGGTATCTTGTGTGGCTTTAATTTGCATTTTCCTTGTAGCTAATGCCACATGTATTTTCATCTGCATTTTGCCATCTATACATCTTCTTTGGTGAAGTGTCTTTACAAATTTTTTGCCTATTTTTTGTAGGTTTGTTAATTTTCTTTATGAGGTTTGAAAGGGAATTACATATTGCAGATATAAGGTCTCTGTTAGATGTATGGTTTGCACATATTTTCTCCCAGTCTGTGGATTGCCTTTTTATTCTCTCAACTGTATCTTTAGTAAAGTAAGATTTTTTTTAATTTTGATAAAGGTCACTATCAATTTTAACTGTTATGTATTATACTCTTGGTATTATATTTAACATTATCTTCACCTAACCCAAGAGATTTTACCTACAGAGATTTTTTTTTTTCCTAGAAGTTTTATATTTTACATTGAGGTCTATGATCCATTTTGAATTAATTTTTTTGGTTGTTCGTTTTGGGTTTTTCGTTTGTTGGTTTGTTTGTTTGTTTTAGGATAGTTTTTTTATTTTTAGAGAGAGAGAGAAACATCTATGTGCGAGTGCAATATGTATTGGTTACCTCCCACATGCCACATGCCCTTACCTGGGATCAAGTCTGAAACCTGGACAGGTATGCCAGTAAACTTCTGGGTGCATAGGACAACACCCAACCAACTAAGACACATCTGCCAGGGGCTGAATTAGGTTTTAATAAGTTTATTAAATTATTTTTTAATGAAGTGTAAGGTGCAGGTTTAAGCTTATTTTTTATATGAATATCTAATTGTTTCAGTGCCAGTTATTTAAAAGATTTATCTTTTCTTCTTTGAAGTGACTATGAACCTTTAGTAGGTCATATTTGTGTAGGGTTATTTTTGAGTTCTGGAATCCATTGATCTATGTACCTTTCTTTCACCACTTGTAGGTTGTCTTGATTACTGTAACTTTATAGGAAGTCTCAAATATCATGTTAGTATACTGTGAGTCTTAAGCATTGTCTTTTTTCAAATTGTTTTAGCTATCTTATATCTATTTTTTCCATATGTACACAGACAGTTGGTAGGGTTTTGAGAGGAGTTGTGTTTAATATGTAAATCAATTTGGGGAAGAATTGGCATCTTAACACTTGAGACTTTCAATCTATGAATATTGTAACTTTCTGCTTTCTGAGATTGTCTTTATTTCTTTTGTCAGTGTTTTGTAGTTTTTAGGATAGAGATTGTGCATGTTTTGTTAGATTTATAGGTATTTTAGGGTATTTAGGGTTCTTATTTGGTAAGTATTGATTTCTAATTGTTCAATAACATTTTAGCATACTAGTATAGATGTGCAGTTGATTTTTTTATTTGAATTTTATTGCATGACTTCGTTAAACTTATTAGTTTTAGGAGCTTTTTTTGTAGATTAGTTGTCTGCAAATAGAGGCTATTTTATGCTTTCCTCTCCAACCTATGCCATTGACCTCCTTTTCTTGCTTTATTGGCCTGGCCAGGACTTCCAGCATCATATTGAATAGGAGTGACAAGAGCAGGAATCTTTGCCTTGTTTTGATCTTAAGAGAAATACGTTCTGTCTTTTGCCATTATGATGTGAACTGTAGAGCTTTTATTTTTTTTTTTAACAGATGCTCTTTATCAAGTTAAGTAAGTTATCTTCTTTTCCTAGTTTTCTGAGAGTTGTATTTATATTATGAAAGGATGTTGAATTTCGTCAGTTGCTTTTTCTGCATCTGTCAAAGTGATCATAGTTTTTTTCTTCTTCATTCTGTTTGTATAGTAAGTTATACTGATTGATTTTGAATGTCGCACCAGCCTTGCATTCCTGTGATAAATCCTAATTGGTTGTAGTTTACTTTTAAAAATATATATATATATTCTTAGTTAGGTTTGCTGATATTTTGTTGAAGTGTTCTGTTTTATGTTCATGAGGGATATTGATTTGTAATTGTATTTACTTGTAATGTCTTTCTTTGGTTTTGATATCAGGGTAATGCTGGCCTTATAAAATGAATAGGAAACTATTTCATTCCTGGTAGATTTTGTGTAGAATTTATATTCTTTCTATTGTAAATGTTTGGTAGAATTTTTCAGGGAAACATCTAGACCTGCAGTGTTAGAGACTTTTAACTACAGATTTAACTTTAAAAATAAATTTATAATGTTCAGGTTATTATTTCTTCTTGAGGGAACTTTGTAGTTTTTATTTTATTTTATCTAAGTTGTAGAATTTATGGACATAAAGTTGTTCATAGTATTCCCTTTTGAGCCTTTTAATGCCCCTAGGATCTATAATGATGTGCTCCCTTTATTCCTGAAACTGCTAAAACTATTCTTTTTTTTTTTTTTTTTTTTTTTTTTAGTCAGTCTGATATCAGCTTTTGGTTTCATTGATTTTTTTTTTTTTTTGACTTGTTCTCAATTTAATTGATTTCTGATCTTTTACTTCTTTTCTTGTGCTTTAGTTTTGATTTCTCATTCTTTTTATAATTTCTTTAGGTGAATATGTAGATTATTGATTTGACTTTTTTCCCCTTCTTTTTGAATATTAGCATTTACTACTATAAATTTCCCTCTAAACTCTTTGATATATTTCATTTGCATTTTCTTTAGGTACAAAATATTTTCCGGTTTTCTATCTGACATTATTTTTTACTCATGAGTTATTTAGAAGTTTGTTGTCTAATTCCCAGATATTTGGGGATTTTCCAAATATCTTTTTGTTACTTTGTATGATTTTTCTTTAAAATTTAACAAAAATTGCTTCAGCCTTGAAGAAACTCTTTTTTAGCATTTCTTCTAGACCAGGTCTCTTGGCAATGAATGCTATTAGTTTTCTTTAATCAGAGAATGCCTTTATTTCAACATTTCTGAAGGCTTTTTTTTCTTGATATAGAATTCTAGGTTGACTCTTGTTTCTTTAAACGCTTTAAAGTTAATGTTCCTCTGTCTTTTGTCTTTTATGATTTCTGATTAGGAATTATTTGAATCATTCCTGTGTATGGTATTTAATTTTTCTCTGCTTTCAAAAATTTTTTAACTGGCTTTTAGTGATTTAATTATGATGTTTGGTCATGGTTTTCCTTGAGTTTACCTTTTTTTGTGGTTAGCTGAACTTATTAGATCTCTAAATTAATCTTCAAATTTGGGAAGTTTTGAGTCATTATTTTTTCCAAATTTTTGTCTCTTCTGGGACTCTAGTGACACACTATTTTCCCACCTGCCTTTAAGTCTCTGTTCATTTCCTGGTTCTTGTTTTTTGTTGTTGTTGTTCTCCCTCTCCCTCTCCCTCTCCCTCTCCCTCTCCCTCTCCCTCTCCCTCTCCCTCTGTTCTTCAGATGAGACCATTTGTATCTTCAAGTTCACTGACTTTTCCTTCTGTCTAATCTGCTCTTGATCCCATCCAGTGAATTTTTTATTTCAGATATTGGTGTGTGTTTTTTTCAGTTCTAAATTCCCATTTAGTACATTTTTATAGTTTGTATTTCATTTTTTTCAGTAGTGTTTACCATCATCTCATAGAGTACAGTTATAATAGTTGCTATAAAGTCTCTGACTGATAATTATAACATCTGGTTCATCTTGGTTGGCATCTGTTGATGGTTTTCCCTTGAGAATTGATCAGATTTTGCTGTTTCTTTGTAAGCCAAGTAATTTGGGTCCTGGACATTTTGAATATTTGTTGTGAGAGTCTGAATCCTATTAAAATCCTCTGGATAATTTTTGTTATTGTTGTTTTTAAACATACAATCAACCAAAGTAAATTCAGACTATAAGGCCTGTTTCACCTTCTTTGAGTGACAATGTCAATAAAAAACTTAAGGCCTTGGCTGTGCTTCCTGAGGTCTGTTTCATGCACATGAGATGTTACCAGAACTTGTACCTCTTTGTAAACGGTATCCAGGATCCCCTTGCTCCTGCTCCTGAGTGGAGGGCAAGGACCCCTTTTCCCAGTCCTTTCTCCAGGTAGATGAGATTTCTCTCAAGTTTTTGCTGAATATGCCATCTACAAAGTTCCTCACTGGGGCTAATCTTAGGTCCAAGCCGGAAGAGAAGAGGGAAAAGAAAACAGAAAATCATCCCCATATGGCTTGCTTCCTCCTGTTTTGTTTCCATAATCGGTTTGCTATTGTTTACTTTTCAGAGCCCTAGATTGCTGCTTTTTGTATTTTGTTCAGATTTTTTGGTTATAATCATGGGGAGAGATAAGCGGTGGTGGGCTTATCTAGTTCGATCACATTTTGTTTTTCAATTGACATTTAAAAATATGGAAATGTTAATTGTAAATATCTTTGGCTTAGATTGTGACTACTTTTATTTTCTTGTGGTAAAAGTTATTTGCTATTTAAAATACCAGAATTTCTAAGTAAAGAAGCTTGCTGATATTAAATGTAGTAGAACAGAAAGCATCTCTTTTGGACAAATAAAACACAATGATCATTTCTATTTTTATTGTTCATGTAATACAACTGATTAAAATAAAATACATACACTCACACATACACATGCCTTTTCAAAGCAAAGGTGTGGTGAATGGCTTTGAATTATTGGTATCTATCTATTAAGTGGCAAACTGGACCTTAGAGTTGTACTTTTTATTGTCTTTTTGTCCAAAACATTACATAAGTAGATAAGTATTTAACAATAAACATTTGAAATATCTTTTCATCTTTATTTGTAACACAGTTTCAATCTTTGGTTCATATTCAGTTGTCCTCCTTTCATTAACTCTACATGGGGTTGGTGGCTTGGATTAAAGAGAACTGTGTTATAAAAATGACAGATTTGAATTCATTTTGAAATGGTTTAAAATTTATCATTAGCTATTAGAATTGAACATTTTTATAATTTTTTTTAATTTACTGCCCTCTCTCCCTTTAAATTAGGTGCTCTGTGGATGTGTATAGTTTTAAATCCTCACTGCAAGTTGGAGCAGAAGGCCAGTTGGCTAAAACAGCTGAAGAAATGGAACAGTGTTGATGTCTGTCCATGGGAAGATGGAAATCATGGCAGTGAATTACCCAACTTAACCAACGCTCTGCCTCAGGGTGTAAATGCCAACCAAGGTGAGTTCACAGCAATATTCTGCTTTCTTTATATTTGACTAATTGTGCACATATATTTATGACAGTAACTTACAATGAATATGGGAAAATAATTTTCCCACTTAAGAACTTACCATAACTAAAAGAATTTAATGTGTTTTGACTGTGAATATATATTTTAATTTTTACCTGAGACCATTGTGTGCTTTTCTTCATATTCTCAGACTACAGAGGGATGTAATACTTACATATGTTAAATGGTTATTTAGAGTTATACAAAACTAGAGATGGGGTCCCTCAGCCTGGCCGGTGTGATAGGGCGATAGGATCATCTCTCCCAGTGGGAGGTTGGCTGTGGGAGCACACTGATCACCAGGGTGCAGCTCCTGCATTGAGCATCTACCTCCTGGTGGTCAGTGCACTTCATCTTTACTGGTAGACCCGTTGTTCATAATGGTCACTTAGGTTTTTATATAGAGAGATAATATGGTGATATTGAGAGGTTTGAGCAACTGTGTGTTTTTGTCTCTTTTGGTCAATTCATATTTGGGCTACTGCATAGTCAGTTAAAAAGTCTTAGTTTTAGAATATGGCAAGTAAGAATTTTATGATGGTTGGAAGAGGGTGCTGTTGGCATTTGGAGTAGGAAAATTCTTCGTTGTGAAGGATTGTCTAGCATACTTATTTCTACCTACTGCAGGCTAATAGTACCCCCTACTTTTGGACAACTAAAGAATGCACACAGACATTTCCAAACATCCTCTGAAGAATGTCTTACATTTCCATCCTGCTTTTTTTTTTGTTTTTTTTTGAGCTTTTCTATTGGGTCAACCTATTTAGCTCAAGTCCCTCTCGTCTTTTTTTTTTTTTTTTTTTTTAATCTTTCCTTGGCTTAACTATTTTTTCTCTGCTACTATAGCATTTTCTTCTCTCTTTCAGAACCAAATCCTTAAAGTAATTAACGCTTACAAATAAAACTTTCATTCACTAATTCATATCACTATTTTTGTGTGGTTTTGTGCTGTTGCTGCCTTTTTCTATTTCGTTTTTTTAAGAAAATTTGAAAGATTTTAAAGTTATGAAAGATGCAAGATGAGAGTTATATGATAACAGCAGGATCCAGAATCAAGACTGTCATTCTGTGTGTCCTGGAAAGAGATGACAATGTGCTGAGTGCGAATGTGGGTTAGCAGTCTTTATAGAGAAAGAATTACATATGTATTACTCCACAGGGATTTGTCCAATGAAAAGGATGGAAGTTTTAGGACTTGGGAAAGATGATTGGCTGGCTCTGCTTTGTTTCGAGGTATTTACCTTGGAAATCAGTATTTGAAATCTGTCCTATATTGCTCATGATTTTATGTAATAACTTTTAAGAAAATACATTTACCCCTTATACCCAAATTATTTCCCAGAAGCTCAGAATTTTCAAGTTTAGCAACATCTTTTCTCCTGCATTGCTACATCTATATAGGCAATATCTTGAATCTTTTATTTCTTTATATTTGGAAGTTACTCTGTTTCACTCCTTAACCTGCTTTTGGGGAGCACCGTCCTAACATTTTACACTTAATTTCTATTTGGTTACTTTCTCCTTGGTTAAACAGGAATATTCCATTGGCTTTCAGAACACCCTTAAACAATGGTCCAGCCTCCATATAAAACAGTTCATTTTATTTATGGTTTGGCCTAGGGGCATGAAGTCAGGACCTAGTTTCTGAGGGCAGTATTTATAGCTGTTGTGCCTAAAGGCACCAGGGCTCCTGTTTTTAGCATAATGCTCACATCCTCTAAAAGGGCTGTCACAAGAGAGCTGAGCAGGCTGCTGGGGAGAGCCTGCCCAGTGCCATTGCAGCTGGGTGTGGAGTGAACAGAAAGTGGGCAGAACTGCATTGTTGGTGGTATATTGAAGTGAATGTGAAGGGCAAATCAGGCCCTCACTTTGCTGAGATTAACTGTTAGAATTAATTAACAACAGCAATAACAGTATTAGAATCCACACCCTTTGAAAGAGTAGTTTCTTTGACTTTTTAAAATGTACGACAGTGTTAGCCAATTTTTAATTTCTTTATAAAAGAACTAATTTCTCTCATTTTACCTTTCTGAATTTCTCAAGTTTTTTTCAATAAGTAAACATTATTATTCATACATTTTATTAAAAATCAGAAAAACACAGACAACTAAGATGAAAATTGATCATAATTTTGCCACCTAATCAAGCCAACTTTTTGGTGTGTGTGTGTGTGTTTTGTCATTGTCTACAAACATAATCAATTTTTTTTCTGTTTCCCATATTATAAAACTTTGTCTTACATTTTCATATAAATATTAATTTATTAGAATTTAGCCTTTTTTTGTTACAATTGATTTTATTGTTCTCTTAGAGCTAACAACTGTTAAAAGCCTAGTATGCCCTATTCCTTTCTCTGTGCTCAGACAATCAATACAATCAAGTGAAAAGTTAAAGTCTTTTTTTTTTCTAATGGAATACTATTAGTGATATACCACAGTAAGGCAGATCACCAGATAGAATATCTCATTCTTTTAATACATTCATAACATTAAGTTGCTCTTTTAAAAATCTCTGTTTTAAATTCTATTTCTTTGAGTTGAGCTAAACAAAATATATGAAATGACAAAACCACTTACACATGTGTGAGCTTTGCACTTTGGAATATTTGATCTGTTGACTCTGAGCGGTGATGGAACCCATTCTTTATTGAGTAGGAGTATATTTATTCTGCTCAGAAAAGCCCATAATAGATTCAAAAGGCCTTTAAATGTAAGGTCCACTCTTCCCATTTATAAGATGTACAATTAAAACTACTGCTAGCAAGGAGTCTAGGCAGGGCCCATAACACATACATCAGTATCTATTCCTCTCAAATTATGTCATTGATGCATTTTGATATGTCTGCTGTGCTTAAATATATAGATATCTAAGTTGACTCGAGAGCAAACTGAAGTAGTGTCTTTCTGTTAAAGGCCTTCAGAAACCTTTCAGCTGCAGTAGGTGAATTTGGACTGAGGATATGTGTTTTGATCGTGATTGCTATTACCTCACTTTGTGACCTTGGCAAGTCACTTTACTTCTATTTTCAGTTTAATCAGCAGAATAGAGAGGTTGGACTTGACCAGTTCTCAGAGCTCTTCTTGATTTTCTTCTTTATTTTTATGAATTCCTAATGTCTGTGCTTAGCCAGAGCTCCAGTGACAGGAAGATGAAACATCAGCTAAGGAAGATCCAGATTTTGCCTCTCATTTAATTAAGCCTCAGAACAGTGAGGGTGATATTTGAGCTAAGTAAAGTACACATAAATAAAAATAGTCCATCCCCCTAATTTTCAGTTGAGGCTCACTAAGTTTTGTGCCATAGTTGAAGGTAAGTCTGGAATGGGGACACAAAAGGTGGGCGTGCAGGTAGAACTTGGACCACGTTATCCAGAGGAACTGAATATTCCCAGGAGAGTGGGTGAGAATATCCTTTATTCCCCAAACATTTCTTTTCTCCGTCAGGTCCTGAAACTTGAACCCTCTTCGGAGTGTATGCTTCTGCTCTTTTGTGATGCCCGGCATACACTATGCTGGGGACATCACACCAGTCATGGAACCTGCACAGGAGTCAGGAGGCAGCCTGTAGGGGCAAGGTAAGTGCGCTGGTTTGTTTTGTAGCTATGTTGTGTGGCTTTGTGAACTGTTAAATATATGCATTTATGCCTTTGGGATATAAAGTGGCATTTAATCATTATATCCCAAGAAGCATAATAGTTTTAATTGTGCAAAACCGCACAATATAGTTAAAAAATACAACCAAAAGCACAACCCTTCTACATATCTTTAAAGGCTGATTGCATCTTCCTGAAAGGTTCCATGGCTGGTGTCACATCTCTTACATAGTGTTTGTGAGAGCTGTTGATCCCCTCAGGGCAGCCCACCATAGCACCTCCGAAGTGGGGAGCAGTGAGTTTTCGTGTAGTTTTTGTGCCAAGTGCCTCGTTGGAGTGCATTTGGCAGATTTGACAGTTCTTTTTGCAGGGTGCCTTTAACCTTAGCTTGATGGCTGCAGAGTGTTTGTGTTGGATAAAACAAGTGAGTGAATGGTGGCTCTTTGGGCTGACTTGCCTCCTAGTACTTAGGACATGAGAATATTCACCCTCCATCCTTCTGCGTAGGGGGTGAGGACAATGCGTGTGGGTTTGCTCATGAACCTCTGGCCACAGAGTGGTATGACTGATTTATTCACATAAGAATAATAGCTGACACGGCTTTCTGAATTGTGGAAAAAACAGATTCATCGAACAGGCCACATCGGACAGTGTTCACCCGAGCCATCGAGGCATGCGATCTCCACTGGCAGGATAGCCACTTGCAGCACATTATCAGCAGTGACCTATACACCAACTACTGTTACCATGACGACACTGAAAACTCCCTCTTTGACTCCCGTGGGTGGCCCCTCTGGCATGGTAAGTGCCCAAACCGGAAAGACATTTCCATGACTTACTTCTTTGTGTAGTTTCTATAGCATTATTGGAGTGGGAGGAGGAGAGCTGAGGGATTCAATGGGAGATGGATGAATGCTTGGCAATAGGAGCTGAGTTTTTTATTCAAATCAAAGTTCAGAAATGGTTTCTTGCGGGGTTTTTTTTAATAGTATTTTTTTAATAGCATTTACTATTAAATCCTGTTTTTATGGATATATCTGACATTGGTAACTTTCTCTTGCCCCTTCACTTTCTGTTTTTAGAACATGTTCCTACAGCCTGTGCAAGAGTGGACGCATTACGTTCTCATGGGTACCCCAGAGAAGCGTTGAGACTGGCAATAGCTATTGTTAACACACTAAGGCGGGAGCAACAGAAACAATTGGACATGTTCCGAACTCAAAAAAAAGGTGAATGTAAAGGAGTTTGTTTTCATTGGAATGAATGGGATTCTTGGTGATGACATCACTAGGTTTTGTGTTCTGTTGGGAGAGATGGCTTTTAAAATGAAAGTGATGGGGATGGCAGTACTTAACCACTCATTCAAAATATACCCGATCTTTGAGAAATTTTAGGTATTTTTCCCCCTGGCTTAATATTGTAAAATGTAAATTTTTTTTAAAAGAGTCTTAGGTTAGTTAATTTTTTAAGGGGGAGAAATTTTTTTTATTATTGTTTATCATTGGTACAATTTGAACCAAAGGAAGGGAAAGCTTAGTTTGTCAGAATTATCTAAAATGTAAGTTAGCCAAATATCTTACTTTGTGACTATGTTTTAATTCTAACAATAGGGTTCTGGGGGTTAGACTTGCCTATGTTTGAATCCTAGCAATCGGTTCAAACTCAGAGTCCTTGAGCAATGACTAGACCTCTCTGTGATTTAGACTCCTCATCTGTGGAATGAGGCTCAGTTGAGGATCTATTTCTTAGAGTTCTTGAGAAGATTATTGATCCTTTAAAGCACTTAAAGCAGAGCCTGGCATAGTGTGAAATCACTCTAAAACTTTTCACTTGTTATAATTTGTACATAAGGACATTATATTTAAAGTGATCACTGCAGAAAACTACTCAGATTTTTTAAGTTCAACATTTGGGTCTTACATGAATGAGACCTTGATCAGAAAAAGAAATACGTATGTTTTTTCTGGATAATCTATATACTCCTATTCCATCTGTAGGTATAAATCTTTTTATGGTTTTTTTTTTTGGCAGAATTGTATTTATTCTGGAATTTTTTTTTTAATATATTTTATTGATTTTTTTTTTTACAGAGAAGAAGGATAGGGACAGAGAGCTAGAAACATCGATGAGAGAGAAACATCGATCAGCTGCCTCCTGCACACCCTCTACTGGGGATGTGTCCGCAACCAAGGTACATGCCCTTGACCGGAATCGAAACTGCGACCTTTCAGTCTGCAGGCCGATGCTCTATCCAATGAGCCAAACCGGTTTCAGCTGGAATTTTATTTCTTATTCAGATGGTTTTAGTTGCTGTTGGGTTTTTTTTTTTCTTTTTATGTTTTTAATCCTTGGAGATTATACACACTCCACCTAGGATACAGCTAAAAATTATAAAAAAGTTGTTGAAATAGGCTGGAGGTTAGATTTTTTTTTTTTTTTTTTGTACTTTTAATATCTTCTACATTGAAAGTATCCTATCTAATAAAGAAAGTATATGCTAATTGACCCTCACATCGTTGCAAAGATGGTGGTGCCCACAGCCAATAAGGAAGGAATATACTAATTGACTGCCACACCCTCAAAGATGGCGACACCCAGTTTCCTCAGCCCCGCCAGGGCAGCAGGTGGGCCTAGCCACTCCATGTGCCTGCCTCCAAAGTCCCACAGTCCCCTCAGCCCCAGGGCTGGCCGAGGCTTGCGCTGCCAGCAGTGGCAGCAGCAGAGGTGTGATGGAGCATGGCCTTCCCCTAATTGTTGGTTCACTTCCTGACCCTGAGGGCTTTCGAATTGTGAAAGGGGTCAGGCCAGGCTGAGGGATGCCCCCCCTCCAGTGCATGAATTTTTATGAACCGGGCCTCTAGTTAAAAAATTAACATCATTATTTATATGATGGAAGAAAATTCCAAAGGTATAATTTGAACCAAAGAAAGGGGGAGCTCAGATAGGATTGGATTATAATATTTTTGATAATCAAGACTTTGTTGTCCAATCTTTTATGTTCTTAATAAAATTGTAGAGTTATCCAATGGTAATTCTGGGGGCAACTTTTTAGTCCTCTCTAATGTCTCTCCTAGGAACTGAGGGGAATTGTCCCTAGCTTTTCAGGTGACAATTTAGACTTGACATTTCTTCATACAACATAATTTAGGAGTGTACATTGTAATGTTAACACTGTACTCTGGGCCCATGAATTAAATAGATGTTTGGGAGCTTTCCTAGGAGGTTAGTGCCATTTACATTGATTTACAGATGAAGCTTCCAAATTCAAAATAGTTCACAAGTTGGGGATAATGTGTACCTTTGTTTTTTAATTTAATTCAGTATTAATTTGTCCGGATGCTGCTTTAAATGGCAAAGCCTCTCTTCCCTTTACTTCTTTTCATCTCTCAATTCCCTTTTCTTACACAGAGCTACCACATAAAAGCATTACCTTGATAACCAATCTGGAGGGCTGGGTTGGACACCCTCTGGACCCTGTGGGCACTCTTTTCAGCAGCCTTATGGAAGCCTGCCACATGGACGATGAAAGCTTCCCTGGGTTCTCCAGTTTCACAGGTAAAAAACCTTGACATTGGTCTCGTGTGCCCTTTTTTCTAAACTCTGAATGGCAGTGGTCATTTTTCTTCACAGTTTATTTTATGAATCCATACAGTTAACAATATCTACAGCTAGCAAGAGAGCAAGGAAACAGGCACTCTCTGCTTTTCAGGCAGGCTCAGATTCGACAGTTGACAGCATGTGTAAAGAACCTTAGAAATATTTATTCTCTTCTAGTCAGTGGTGGTGCATCTAAGAATTTATTTGCATTTATGACTGTTTTCTAGCATAAAGATATAAAGTAAGGATGTGTATAATGTGGGAGTGAGAAAGGGTCGGGTGAGCTCAGAGGGTTTATTATCTCCCCTTCATATTGTCTTCATATTGACTATTGTGGTGGTTACCTCCATAGATTATGGGTGACCCAAAATTATTGGGAGAGCAAAAGCTATGACTGTGAATGTGCTATCCTTGGGAGTTCAGTGGTTGAAAGTTTGTTAAAGTTTCTAATGGAAACGTAAGTGAATGCTCAGAGAATCATTACCATTGTGATAACTGATGACTTCTTTGATGACAAAAAGACCCTTGAAATTGGGTTACATGTGCTGTATTCTCTATTGTTTTTATTTTAAATTTTAACATTGTGATAAAAGTATGTAAACTTTCTTTATTGTAAGGCTTTTAAGAATTGGTAACTGTTGCAGTCATCATATAATTTTACACTTGTTTAATTAAAAGTTTTCTCATGCTTAAGTATTTTTAATATCTTTCCTTAGATTTATAGTTTTCTTTGGTGATTCATTTTCATTGGGGAAAATATTTGTAATATTCTATCCCCCAGAATATATACATCTAGTTATTCATTTAGAAAACATAATGGAAAGCTACACACTTTTTTTTTGGTCTTCTTGGAATTAAGTCAATAATTCATTTACAAGTACTGGATAAAATAAATATTTGTTCCTGAAAAAGTAGTTTCTGAACTCTGATTTTTTTTGTGACCTTTTACAGAGAATATGGGACAGTGCAAATCTCTAGAATACCAGCATCTACCTGCACACAAATTCTTAGAAGAAGGGGAATCCTATTTAACACTCGCTGTGGAGGTAGCCCTGATAGGGCTGGGACAGCAGCGTATCATGCCTGATGGGCTGTACACACAAGAGAAAGTTTGCCGAAATGAGGAGCAGCTCATCTCCAAGCTTCAGGAAATTGAATTGGATGACACACTGGTGAAAATTTTTCGCAAGCAAGCAGTCTTCCTATTAGAAGGTAGTTTAATAACGAGTTTTTCTACTTATTTAGCCAATTTTATTTGTGTTGGGAGTACTGTTTGAATGTATTTAGTATGATGGTTATTCTGGTAGTATGGTTAATGAGTGTTCATTATCCAGTTATAGTATTACTTAAAAAAAATACAGATATTCAGATTTATATCATTTTATGTAGGTGGTCACATAGGATAGCCTATTAGAAATGAGTCCCGTTTAATGCCATCAGCTCTGAAAAGGACTGTTTTTTGTTGTTGTTGTTGTTGTTGTTTTTGGCTTGTTGTTCCTGAGATAAATGCAAGTTTGATATTTAGTGAGCTGTTGCTGGTGGCCATATTCCTCTTTGCTGGAACAATTAAATTATAAAATGGAAATTGATTGGCATTCCTCTGAATTATTGGCTATTACATGATGTCTGGGTTTTGAATATGTCATTTGCACGTGCTAACAAAGGACTGAAAGCTGCAGGAGTAGATTTCCACTGTGCTGAGTAATTATTTCAGAGAATTCATTAGGATTACATTCAGCAAGTTAAAGTTTCATAGACCCTTTAAGGCAAAGCCTAATTTTCTTTTTTTCATAAGGTTAAGAGCTAAAGTGCCTAACAAATTTGGCTGGCATTATTTTAACAACAGTTTTGTGTGTTTTTTTTCCTTGAAAAGACTTAAGTGTAATTAGTATAGTAGCCTAATCTTTTGTGTAAATTTAAGTGATGTCTAATGGATAAAAATGACTTCTATCTACAAATGTACACGTTTGTCGTTATTATGGGATTCTCTCTGATTGATAGGCTAACAAAGTGTGCTGTCTTTGTCTTATATTCAGAACTGTTACATATAGGGAAGGGATTTAGAAGAAATAGCATTTTAAGACTTCTTTTATTTTTCCAAATCTAAAGATCTATTTGAAAGAAAATATTTTCAACAATACATTATACACATTTTAGAAATGCATTCTAAAGAGAAAATGTTTTTATAGCATGCTTAATTTTGGTAAAAATTCCTAATATTAACTTTTTGAAGCACTCCTAAAGTTTTTTTCTTCTTCTTAACATAAAAGCCTATCTTGGCAAATTTCAAGTGATATTGATTCTTTCATTACAGTTTTCTTTTACTTTCCTCTCATAATTTATTTTGAGATAAGCAAATCATTAGTCACAAGCTTTTTTTTTATGTCACTGGCTCTTAGTAACTGGCTTTTGGTTTCCGATATATTGAAGGGTAGGAAGAGGGTGTGTGCTTTTCAATTTTGAGGGTAATCTGTTTATCATTTACCTTCTTAAATGTTCTCCACGTTCATTACTCATGAATAATTTTAACTGTCTTAGTCTTTGATTAGTTCATACCTCCCCATTAAATATTTTTATAAGAACTGTGCCTTGCCGAGACCGGTTTGGCTCAGTGGATAGAGCGTCTGTCTGTGGACAAAGGTCCCAGGTTCAATTCTGGTCACGGGCATGTACCTTGGTTGCGGGCACATCCCCGTTAGAGGGTGTGCAGGAGGCAGCTGGTCGATGTTTCTCTCTCATCGATGTTTCTAGCTCTCTATTTCTTTTCCTTTCTCTCTCTGGGATATCAATAAAATATATTTAAAAAAAAAAAAAAAAAAAGGAACTGTGCCTGATGAAGAGTGTTGTTGACTCATCCCTGCTCGGCCCACAAAGAGTGGGTGTTGCAGGACAGGAAACAGTCTTAACAGGAAAGAAAGGGACCCTTTTTGTCAACTTCATGGTTGAGTTGACTGCACTAGGCACCAACTTCTTTATGCATCAGTGTACTCCAGGAATTTCAGGGGTGCAAAGTTAGCAGACTCAGATGTCAGAAAAGCACTTCTGGGGAACTTACTACCAAATTTCAGTCCTTCATTATTCAATACACTGATTATTGAATTACACTGATTATTAAACCACAAATAATTCAGTGATACCCAATTGAACAAGTTTTACTTGTTGGTAAGTGTCATAACAAAATGCTGATTATGCATTCTGGCTTTTCCTGCATAATGAACAGGTAGTTTGATGGTTTAAGGGAAACATTGGAATGAAATGGAAGAGACATGAAGAAAATAGCCTATAAATTAAGAACTATATTTAGTTCTTAAGTAAAATAGAGTTACTGTCTTAGTCTTTTGAGGCTCCTATAACAGAATACTACAGACTGGGTGGCGTAAGCAGTTGAAATTTACTCTTCACAGTTCTGGAGGCTAAAAAGTCTAAGGTCAGGTGCTGGTGAGGTACAGTGTCTGGTGAGGTACTTCTTCTCGGCTTTTAGATAGCTGCCAGCGCTAGCTCTCTGCTGTCTCTTCCAATAGGGATATTAATCCTATTGGATCAGGGCCCCACCCTCTGACCTCATTTAACCTTCATTATCTTTATGAAGGCTCTTTCTCCAAATACAGTCACATTGGGAGTTGGGACTTTGACACAATGAAGTGAGGTGGGAGATAACGAGCATTCAGTTCATAATAAAAACCTAAATAATTTGGCCTCATTATATGAAATAAAGGTCAAACTGTAATGCTATTTCAACTTTTGAAGAATATTAGATCACTAAAGCATTTTTAAATTTCTTAAACACAAGAAAAAGATGAATAGGTTTGGTAAAATTAGAAATATAGGATGGATTTTAATTTACCTAGGTTAAAAAAAAATGGTGTTTACTATATGATTTTTCAAGTACCTAAAATGAATAATTCAAAAATACTAATGAAAATTTAAAATAACCTATATTAAAAAGTATCTATAATATGTCATGTTTCTATCCCATGCTCAGTGCAGTAACTCCTCTCACCGTTTCTTCTGAACTGCATTTTTTGCATTTTAAACTCTTCACCAGACTGATTTTTCTCAGGGAAAACAAATGCATTATGTCCTTTGAGCAGTAGTGTCATGGTTCATAATTCTAGAAATCATCAAACAGTTTTTACCCAAAGGTGACATGGAAACTAATTTATTACACAGTTTACAGTAACTAAACCTCAAGGTACGTAAGTGGAAAGAAGTTGAACTAACCACTGTGATTTCCTTTCAAAATTTAAAATCTGTATTGCCCTTCCTAGGGCAGCATTCACAGAGCACAGGGGAAGTCAACTCTGCCACCAGCCCTGACATAGCTTATTAAGAAATGAGTTCTGGCTGTTTCCATGTAATTTTGCTTTTAAAATTGGTCTTTTGGAACCTAAAATGTGATAAATTTTCAGTTACTTTAATTTTTTTCTTTTGCCTATGGTGAGTATCAAATGGGTAACTATTCTCATTATTAATCACTTTCTGAGAATCCGTATTTATTTCTGCTTATTAAAAGCAACAATGTTTATAGTCTTTGTATTGGGATTTGTGGTTCAGAATCCTGCCCAACCTGCCAGAGCACTCTTTTCCAGAAGCCCGGTTTGTCTGTGCCCCTGGGACTGAGGTACCAGGCACAGGTTCCGAAGTTAATCTGCAGAGTCATCTGTGCATTTGGAAATCTGGATGCTGGGACATACACATGTACAGAGGATGTTTCTTGAATTCATTGAGGTTTTATACATTGCAAGGTTTCTTTCACAGTTAAAATGTGAAAAAGCTCTGCCCTTTAGTTCTTTGATTCTCATTTGAGGGATTGTTCCTGAAGTAAATTTGACATTGGATACTATAGCCTATAGAATCATTTTTTACTAAGAATCTGTATTCCTTCTCCTGTGCCACTTAGATCAGCGGTCGCCAACCCTTCAGACCTCGCGGACCACCGGTTGATGACCACTGCTCCAAAGGTTCCCTTAAACCAGCGGTCGCCAATCTTTCAGACCACCGGTTGGCAACCGCTGACTTAGGTTACATCCTTAACCAGATTAGCTTGTATATGTTATAACTTTACATAACAATTTTAAAATATACTTTACAAGAAGTCTCAGTTCCTTTTTTAAGAATGTAAAATGTGTATGCTCTCTTCCCACAGCCGGACCATATAGTGGTTTAGGCGAAATAATCCATCGGGAGAGCGTTCCAATGCACACATTTGCCAAGTATCTCTTCACCTCTCTCCTACCTCACGATGCTGAATTGGCATACAAAATTGCACTGAGAGCAATGCGGTACGTATTCACAGCCCAGCCGGGCAGATGCAATCCAAATTCCCCCCTGGGAGGAATGGCTGTTCATTGATTTCTCATTCATTTGTGTTTCTTATAGGCAGCAGAAAATCTAAAGAACATATTTATTTATATGTTTCTTGGGTTGTGTAGTGGTTTGTTCATGGGTCGTGCGCTTGTTTGACTTCTGGTTAAAAGTAAAGGAAGATGGTATCCTTGACTGCTGTCATACCCCGCGCTCCCGTGGAGGGTGGCAGGGCTGGGACTATTCATAGTGCTGAAGGCATCACTAGGAGAGCAGATCCTGGTCTGCTAGGATCTGGCCCCCCTCAGCACTGACTGCTGCCATCTCCTCTCCAGTCCCTCCTCTTCAGCAATAGCAATTAGAGTACGTTCCTCGCCACTCACCTTTCTCTTTTAAAAGTCAATTCACCAGATAATTATTTTTATTGCAAATCTGTTCTTGGTGAATATTTTTTAGTGACTTCAAGATTGTATTTGTCAGTCTTATTTGTAGCATATTATTCTTTAAACACCTGAAAGAAATACCTACCTACCTTTCTTAAAACAGGAGCTTTTTTCCTTTAAAGAAAAAAAAAATTAAAGCACTTCTATGTTAAAGTAGATTAGACCTCATTCTAGTCACTTAAAGACAAACCATGAACATAACCTAAAAGCTTGAGGTGCCAGAGAATAATTTGATCCCATAGAAACTTACCAAAGATTCTATGTCTGCAACCAGTATGGTGGGTTCAAAATCAAGCTCTTGCCTTCTTATGTTTGTAGCTTGTTTCTCTCAGAGGCTTTTTTTGGTGCAGTGATAAGGGTGTGTGTGTACCTGCATGTCAGTGTGTTCTGAGGCTGACATCTTTCGATTTCTTCCCCTTGGCAATGTGAGGTTTCATTTACTGAGAAACCTTATAAATCCTCTTGTCTATTTTTAAAATACCAAAAAATAAATTTAAAACTAACACGAGCAAAAGTTTCCCACCAAATTATTTTATACCCCTTGGTTTGTATTTTAACCAGTTAACTGCCATGCATCCAAAGATGCTTTTATCTCACTGCTGTCCGTGAACACTTATGGATACAAAGGGTTAAAGCACACTTATTAGTAAGTTAGTTTGGAAGCCGAAAGTTGTCGGATAAAGACAGATGCTCAGCTCTATATCTATTCAAATCCGAGAGTTGTGCTCCTGTGTAAAGGGAAGCATGCTAATGTTATGATGCCACCAGATGCAATTGCTCTGACATTGTAAAGTTTAAGAGGAAAATGGCTTACCCTTTCTCTGTGGGTCTGGCTTATGCTAAGGCTGACACTCAGATACTCGTTTATGATTGTGCTTGATTGCTGCCCGGGCAGTTTGTTCACGGGGTACTAGCAGGGCATTAGGGATTTGCTTTCCCACCTCTCCTCTTCTACCTGCCACCATCCCCCTGCCAAAGGACTGCGTGGTGGGACCTCCTAGAGCATCTCAGGGCAGCCATGGACCAGGAAGGAAGAGAGACCTGTAGCTTACTTGCTTCTTAGTCCTTCTGGAAGTAGCCGTGGTGGGCTGGGGCAGGGTATTTTCAGCACTCATTTTCTCATCTTTCCAGGAGAGTCATCCAAACACTAATGGAAAGCTCTGGAAAGCTCTGCCTGTTAATTACAGGAATATTCTGGGTGATTTGTCGTTGTTTTTTAAACTAAAGAGCAACCCCACCAAAATGCTTATTATTTAATTGCCTACCTCTAATGCTAACATCTCTATGTCCCTAGATAAAGGGAAAAGATAATGAGGCATTTGGTTTACCAGAGCAGTACCCGGGATGGGTCCTCAAGGCCAGCCTCACACCCTGACCCTGCTAACTCCTCTTGATCCCCAGCTCTTAGTCTGTAGTTCCTAATACTGGTGTACTTGAGTGAAGATCAGTGTTTGGATGATGATAAAGGAATTATTTCCGCTATAGCTACTATACTAATCTCTTTGGCAGTTATGTTTGGAGATGATCACTAAGCATGTGCTTTGTTTTTAATAATTATTCTTTATTTTTCAACATATTAAAGATTGATTGAAATGGGAAATACACAGAATTTATATGAGACTGTTAAGGACAAATATTTGGATAATATGCATTCATCATCTTCTGCTATATATGATATTCTAACTATAAATACCTGAAGGAATAAGGAACTTTTTTTTTTAGAAAATATGAGTAATGGACAGGGAGGGTTTTGTTTTTGTTTTTGTTTTTTTACTTCCCCTTATATGTTGTGTTTTAGTAAGTTAAGCATTTAGATCTCAGTTATCCACCAATCCCTGACTGTTGTAATCTATGTCTTACTATCCACTTCACTGTTAGTTTTCTCTTGATTTCTATTTTTTAATGAGTGGTAAGATTCAAAAACTTTAAAGTAGGTAAACATCAAGACTGAGTTTCATGCTTCATTATTACATAACTTAATTTTTTTTGAATTGTGCAATTTTCTGAATGATGTTAAAGAAAGGAAATCTCTTAGGTTTAGATAATGAGTAATTAACAAGATGACTTTGGCATCCAGACAGCAGAGTGTAGCTGTACCAGCTCCTCCTGCACAAGGACTGACCGATTCTCCCAGCACCTACCCACTCCTCGGGCTCTTGGCTAATCCCCGTGGCAAAGGTGATAGATAAATGATAACCAGCAGCCACCTACCCTGTCTCTTCTTGTTACAGGTTACTAGTATTGGAATCTGCTGCTCCAGCAGGAGACCTCACCCGCCCACACCACATTGCGTCAGTTGTTCCCAACCGATACCCTCGTTGGTTCACTTTAAGCCACATAGAATCCCAGCAGTGTGAGCTGGCATCCACCATGCTAACTGCAGCCAAAGGTATTGGATTGTCCTGAGGCCTCATGATTATTTTGATGGTTTGCCTTTTTGTTTAAGGGTCATGTTTGCTATCAGATTCTTAGTAGTAGTGCTAATGTTGGGTTAAGGGGACACTTTTTATTAGTGTTAGCTTATGGGGAAAATAGGTGTTGCTCATTTGAGCCTGGCATTTTCTTCATTTAACTGCATCATTAAACCTGTTGCTGGCAAAGTGTAGGTTTAGTTGCCATGCTGTGTGTGTGATGGTTGAGATTCAGAAGGAGATTGAAAAGTTCAGTTACATTTCTTCTCTCCCTGAGATATTCACCAAACATATATATAAGTAGGAACTAGGAGAGCTAATTGTTATCTCGTGTTGGTCCTGGGTCACATGTGTTTTTAGTCATTGAAAGTTTGTCTCAGTGTTTCTTTTGGGTGAAGCTGAGAGTCATTTTCATGGCAGTAACTTAACTTATAACATCTGTGCCATCTGTGAATATTTCAGGGAAATTAACTTGTGCTTTATGTTTATTTTGTTTCCTTTTTATTTCCCTTTGTATGTGTGTGTTTGGTATGATTTTGTTGTTGTTGTTTTTATTTTGCTTTGCTTTGATTTGATTTGGTTTGGTTTTTCCTTGTTCATTGCAGGCGATGTTCGGAGGCTGGAAACAGTATTAGAATCCATCCAGAAAAACATTCACTCCTCATCCCACATCTTCAAGCTTGCCCAAGATGCATTTAAAATAGCAACTCTCATGGACACTTTGCCAGACATCACTCTTTTGAAAGTGTCTCTGGAGCTGGGCCTGCAGGTATGTGACTAATGGTCTTTCCTACAGGATACCAACGACTGCTAAATAAAGATAGCATCTTGAGGTTGTTTCTGTTTGCTTACTTGGATTTTTTTAGTGCAGGTAAATGAGTTCGGTGCACAAGTCTGTTAGATTTTCGGGAGAGCACTGTGCTTCAGAGCTGAGGTCATTTCCCCTGAACCAGGTACTGCCTGAGATGCAGGGGGCTGCATTGACATTCAGAAGCCTGATTTGATATGTTTCTTTCAAATAAAAAAATCACTTAATTATAGCCTTAACGGCACCTTTTCTCCTGTAATGAATGGGGAAGAATTATTGTTCATTAGAGACTTAAATAAAGCTATCATGTATATTAAAGATTCAATTGTTAGGGGTAAATTTTTAGAGGAAGTATGAATTTTTATTGATGTCTGCATTTTCATAATAGATGGGTAGTTATAGCTCCTTATTTATTTATTTATTTATTTATTTAATCCTCATCCATAGAGGGGGAGGCTATTTTTTCCATGATTTTTAGAGAAAGTGGAAAGGAAGAGGTTAGAGGGGGAGAGAGAGAGAAAAAGAGAGAGGAGAGAGAGGGGGACAGATAGACAAGTGTTGATGTGAAAGAGAGATATCAACTGGTTGAACCTGCAGTCAAGATATGTGTCCTCGACCAGGAATCAGACCTTTGGGCCACAGGCTGGCACTCTAACCACTGAGCAACCAGCCAAGGCACTCTTTTTTATAGCCCTGAGAAATTAGGTAAAGAAGGAGTGGTGAGGCCAGAGTCCAGTTTCAGCGTTCAGCAAGCTGCTTAGACATATTACCCAGGACATTTTCAGTCAGTTATGCCAATGGATGTTTGCTTTTTTATAGTTTCTGAAAAGATTACTGTATAAACCCGGAACTGTAAAGTTTATATTTCTACTTTTCTTGAGAAATCTCTGTGTACATTTGTATGGGGGTTTTGTTTGTTTGTTTGACCCCTCCTTGAAAAGCAGTGAAATAAAATTTCATCCTCTAGTTACCTAAAGTATGGGGAATGGAATACCCTTATTAGATGACTAATTTGATTTTCTAGTTAGGATTCTCCTTACAGTAATGAATAAAGTTTAAAGAATTATATTACAAGAAAATGCAGTTACCATATATAGTACTGTACGAGCAGAGGTTATAGGAGATTGATTGCATTTAAACAATAAAATGACATTTTAAAAGTTTCCTTATAAAAATAAATTCTGGTTATTTGGCTTATTTCTTAAAGGTATGATGCAGAAAAACACACACATATTAATGCAAGTTTTCCAGGTATTTGGAATCCTGGCAGATTTGGAGAATAAATGGCAGATTACTGAGATTTTGCTCCCTGCCTCATTCCTTGTAGAACACAGGAAGAAATCCCACAGGGCCTTTCTAAGGCTTTAGGAGGTTACGTGCCTAGATTTTATGAATCTTAAAAAATGGGGAAAATAGTAACAAAGGGATATTTTAACTTGGAGTCACTTATTAGAAAGTGAAAAACTAATGATGCCAAAGATGATTTCTTTCCATGGACCTAAGGTTATCTTCATACTTGCCAGACAAGAGAACCAGAGACTGAAATAATGACTAAAATACCTCTGCCATCTGAGAGTTTGTAATCAGAATTACTTCAGGGGAGCCTCAGGAATCTAAAACCAGGGAATGTTAAATCTGGGGAGGAGATGAGGCCTGGGCTGTGTTTAATGCTTCAGCCCAGGCCTCTTATTTTGCAGATGAGAAAAGAGATTGAGTGACTTGCCCAGGATGCCGCTTCTGGTCAGTCGACCCACCAGGATAAGTGTATGGACCTCCTGCCTCTCTGGATGGGATGAGGCTGGGAGAGCCGCGCACGAGTTCATATGCAGAGCTGCTCTGAATACGGCTCTCCATCCTCCTGCTAATAGGGGGAGCGCCTTGTAGTTACACCTTGGAAATAATTGTTTTATATTTCCACTGACTTGGGATAATCTTCCAGAACATATTGTTTTCCTATCTCTATAGGTTATGCGAATGACACTGTCAACCTTAAATTGGCGACGGCGGGAGATGGTCAGGTGGCTGGTAACATGTGCTACTGAAGTGGGTAGGTAAACTCTGAAGGAGGAGCTTCTCCAGATCCCTCCTGTTAGATTTAACTCCTCAGTCACAGGTATAAGAACTTCTTCCCTCTTTCACCTTGACTTTTCCAAGGCTCCTGCCGCTCTAGCAACCACCAGGGGCTCCCTTCCCTCCAACCTTCAGTTGTACATACTAGCATTGCCCCTCTTCCAAACTGTCAAGGATGTGGGTTCCAGACTCACTAAAATGGAAAAGGTCAGTGAGAAAACACATTTCATCCAGTTGGTCTGTCACTATTACGTTGCTTTTAGTAACTTTTTGTGGTAACCAGGTTTACAATTTCATATTTAAGGATTCCAGCGTGAATCCTTGGTGGATTGGAGCCCACCTCTGAAACTAACTTGACTGGATTAGTGCTTCAGTCTATTTTAGTAAAAATGATACAGTGTGTTTTCTTCATCATCTCAGGACTTGTCATGGTGCCCAGTGAGAAATGACCACTGGGTATGGTTCAGGTGAACTCTCAGATGTGTGAGATATTGTAGCTAGCCCTAAGAAGATCCACAAGCTGCAATTTATGAGACCTTTTAGCTACCTGCTTCCCCTCTGCAGCAGTAAGACAGTGCTGAAAAAAACTATATTCCCAGCAGAAGTGCCAACACCAATAAAATGGTGGCTGTTGAAAATATATGTCGGTTCAACTGTCTTTCTTTCTTCCTGTTTGCATCAGAAAAGGACACATACCTCTTGCTGAGAGGACACTACCACCTCAGTATTTAGATACTGACACAGCAGATACTGTAAAGTCATTCTTCTTGTTATTCTTTTATTAATTCGTGATGGTTTGTTATTGTGGGAAAAGGTAAATTGGTCTAAATATAAAAATTATATTTAGATTATTGATGTGATGCTTAAGAACTGCCATATAATTCCCCTTCCTCTGCACTAAGATAAATGCCTAATTTTTCTCTGCAATTTAGTACTTTCTCTTTAAACATTCACATTTAGGACTTTTCTACAGGTGAGACATGTTGGGTTATTTTTAAGTGCTTGGCAGCCATTTCCAATATCTGAGTCATCTGTAGGTCTGCTTCTGTTGAAGTTTTTCTCTTGATTATGAGTCACATTTTCCTGCTTTGTGTGTCTTAATCATTTTATGTCGTGTGTATTTTAAACTTACACACAAATACAAATACACATGCACATAACGTAAAAACTACCCATTTTATTGGGGGTTGTGGTTTTCCTGAGGAAAACCTACAGATTCGGTAATGGATATCTGGCAGGAGGCCCCAGTGAACTGGAACTCGTTAGCAAAGAGCCATTGTGTGAAATGGCAAGCAGCTCAGTGCAAATACCAGCTACCGAGAGGATTAGTTCTGTATTACAGGAAGTTCATGTTCCTTTCAGGCACTTCACTGAATAACAATCCATAATAACCTTATTCTAAAAGGTTGCTCCCAGGCACATTACCTTATAGGGTTTTCTGGCCTCGCTCATGTCTGGTGATGGTTAACAATGTAAGCATTGATTATAAAGTGAAAATAAGGCCAGACCTCTAGGCAGCATCCTTGTCAGTGATAAGGCTTCTCTGTGTTCCTTACAGGTGTTTATGCCCTGGACAGCATCATGCAGAGCTGGTTTACGCTTTTTACTCCCACCGAGGCCACAAGTATAGTTGCAACCACCGTAATGTCCAACAGCACCATTGTCCGCCTCCACCTGGACTGCCATCAGCAGGAGAAGCTGGCCGGCAGTGCCCGGACACTCGCGTTGCAGTGTGCCATGAAGGACCCTCAAAACTGCGCCCTCTCTGCGCTCACCCTGTGTGAAAAGGATCACATAGCTTTTGAGACGGCGTACCAAATTGTTCTCGATGCTGCTACAACCGGCATGAGCTATACTCAGCTCTTCACGATAGCACGGTACATGGAGCACCGCGGGTACCCCATGAGGGCCTACAAGCTGGCCACCCTGGCCATGACCCATCTCAACCTGAGCTACAATCAGGACACGCACCCTGCCATTAATGACGTTTTGTGGGCCTGTGCGCTCAGCCACTCCCTCGGCAAAAACGAGCTCGCTGCGATAATACCTCTGGTGGTCAAGAGTGTCAAGTGTGCAACGGTACTGTCAGACATTTTGCGCAGGTGCACTCTGACCACCCCTGGCATGGTGGGACTTCATGGGAGGAGGAACTCTGGTAAGCTCATGTCACTGGACAAAGCCCCCTTGAGGCAGCTCCTGGATGCCACGATCGGGGCCTACATCAACACAACGCACTCGCGACTCACCCACATCAGTCCTCGGCATTATAGTGAGTTTATAGAGTTTCTCAGCAAGGCCCGAGAGACCTTCCTAATGGCGCATGACGGACACATTCAGTTTACGCAGTTTATCGACAACCTGAAACAAATCTACAAAGGCAAAAAGAAACTGATGATGTTGGTTCGGGAGAGGTTTGGTTGATAGAACTTGTATGAATGGGGTGGGGGTGGGGGTGGGAGGGATGGTTTGTTTTTACTTGAGCCTGCCTTTGTATCCTTTTTAACTTAAAGAACAGAGCCACACCGGTATTATATGTGTATAGTTCTATTGCGTTTGCAGACTAAATTGTCAAGTTGTGAAAGTTTGTGTTTTTAATTTTTTTTCCCCTTTCTCTTTACTTTTATTTTATTATATTTTTTAATTCTTTCTTTTTTTTTCTTTTTTCTTTTTTTTGTATGAGAGAGACGTTAAAAAGGTTTGGTTTACACTGAGTATATGTTGTCAAGTGGCAAAAGTCCACATAGCTCTCCTGTTTTCTGTATACGTTCACAGCCTCAAAAAAAAAAAATAATAATAATTGTAATGGCTTTAAAAACCAAACAGAACACCTCCATCCTGTGATAAGTACCTCGAATGGATTCAGCTTTACTCCTTTGTAACTCATCTTTACATTTTCAGCATATTTAAACAAACCAACAAAATGAAATACTAGCAGTTGAAGGCTGACCCGCGTGGCTTTGCAGTGCTGTTCGTCCAGAAGCATGGCACACGATGCTTGTGCATGTGGAAACTTAGCGACTGTCAACATACATTCTCAGGGATTTATCAAAAAAAATTAAAAAAGAATGAGAGCATTTATTGTACTGTATATATATTATAGTATATGTCTGAATATTGAAAATATAACATTAACTAATTTATAAAAAATATTCTATGTAATGCAAAATACTTGAAGCTGCAGTAGCTTGGTTTTAAACAAAAACAAAAAAACTGAGAGAAAACCTACCAGAGGGACTAAAAGTGCGCCTTGCTTCAGGGTTGGCTCAGGCGGTGAACTTCATGCTGGGCATCTATGCAGAGCCACCTTTTGGATTGCATGGTTGGACTGAGATCTATTGGGAGAATTATATATGTATATATATATTTATACAGCTTATGTATACATATATATGTAGATACAGACACCAGACCCACACACACACCCACACACACACCACCAACACCAACACCAACCACTACACCACACATGCTTGTAACAGGCACTAGAATAAAGAGGGACAACAAATACACAGCCAGAGCAGCAAGCCTTAGCATTAAGAATATACAGTATGCCAGAACTGGGGTTCGTGCCTCCTCGCCTACGAAACTTAAATATCCTTTGGACACAAACGCAAAATGTTTTCCAGAACAATTGACTTATGATACATAACGCCTTTGCAGTGAGCTAATAAGCTAACCTTTGTGCACAAATAACATTATATATATTATATGTCTCTTCTGCATAGGTATTTTGACTTTGTGCAGGACAGAAAGTTGTGTAGGTAGGACTGTTCTTTTCGGTTTTCTTTTTTTTTTTTTAAGATATATTTTATTTTCTCTAGAATTACTCAAAAACAAAAGCAGCCTTCTATCTTGCCTTGTCTTAATGCTTTAAAATAACCAAACTGGAGATCTAACTACCAAACTGTTCATTATATTATGGAATACCAACTTTGGTTACAGTATAGTGTCTTTACTTTAGCTGATGGTTCTGTAACCTTGTGCTTTTTAAAGCAATTTTTATGTTTTGGTGCAAAAGTTGTCCAGTGTCTCTTGTTCCCTTCATTAGAGAACATGCTAGAGGTATGTTTGTAGGTATTTTTGTTTAGAAGAACTATTTCATGCGCTCCATTTTATTTATTATAATAGGTAAAAAGAAAAAAAAAAGGTTGTACTTCATCACCCATGTAAACATGCTCATGAAGTTGAAAGTAATTAAGATTTGATACACTGATATCAATTTATTTATGTAACTAAATCACTGTTTTATAAACTTGTTAATGATCAACAATTTTTGTTTTGATTAAAATTAGTTTTTTGAAAGTTGATTCTGCCTCTTTTATGGTATATCTCTTATTGCACTTGAACTTGGTGATTATAGACCTGGATTTTACTACATCTTAAAGATTCACTTACCTAATAAATACTTATGTACCGGCCCCTGGAGATACAATGGTGAACAAACAAAACCAAACGCTGGAGCTTACTGTCTGCTTAATGAACAAGACAGACATAGATCAGATACAAAGATAAACTATAAGATAGAATAGCCCTTTTCTCTTCATTCTGTATACTTGGTCATTCCTCCCTAATTAATAAACTATAATTTAGGATATTCAGTACTTGATATAGTTAATAAATGCTGAGTTTATGGAAGGTTTTTTGGTGTATGGTTTAAAAGGAAATCTATAATAATAAAAGAGCAATATGCAAATTTGACCCCGTAGCTGAACAACCTTCCCGATGAAGCCATGGCAGCAGGGCCCAAGGCAGAGGCAGTCAGGGGCAATAAGGCAGGCAGAGGTGGTTAGGGCCAGGCAGGCAGGCAAGTAAGTGGGTAGGGGTGATCAGGCAGGCAGGCGAACCAGTGGTTCTGGATTGCAGGTGGGATGCAGGCCGGGCTGAAGGACCCTCCTCCCCCATGCGCTAATTTCGTGCACCGGGCCTCTAGTTGCATTATAAGGACAAATACTGTATATACACTATAAGCGTATGTCCTGCCCCATCTTCATTGAAAAATGTGTGTGCAAGCCATGCAAATGTGTTCTACTTTTTGTGTGTGATAAAAACACCCTAGATTTACATTTTTAAGTATACATTTCAGTAGTGTTAAGTATATTTACATTGCTGTGAAACAATAGCTCCAAAACTCGCTCATCTTGCAGAACTAAACTCAATACCCAGTAAACAACTGCCCTTTTTGTCTTTCCCCAAAGTCTATTCCTACGTATTTAACTTAAATTTTTTCTACAAATTACTTTCAAAACCTCATAAAAGTCACAGTATTTGTCCTTTTGTGACTGACTTATTTCACTTATCATATGTCCTCATAAGTTCATCCATTTTGTAGCATGTGACAGGATTTCCTTTTTTAAAGACATATAGTACTCCATTTCATTTATCTAGTGATCCTTCAGACATTTGGTTCCTTTCACCTCTTGCTAATGTGAATAGTGCTGCTATGAACATGGATGTGCAACTATCTCTTTCATACTCTCCTTTTAGTTCTGGTAGATACAAACACAGAAGTAACATTGACAAATTTTTTTTTAAAGCTACAATTTTCAGAATATTTAAGACCTTGAAGTTTTTTGTGTTTTTTTTTTTTTTAATTATCTTTGACATCCAGTCTTAACAGCAAATTCCAGATGTCAAGAGGTTAAGTCAATAGGTAAAAGTTTAAATAAATCCATGATGACATTTTAAAATCCCATAAAATGGCCGAAACCAGTTTGGCTCAGTGGTAGAGCATCGGTCTACGGACTGAAAGGTCCCAGGTTCGATTCCGGTCAAGGACATGTACATTGGTTGCGGGCACATCCCCGGTAGGGGGTGTGCAAGAGGCAGCTCTTCGATGTTTCTCATCGACGTTTCTAGCTCTCTCTCCCTCTCTCCTCCTCTCTGTAAAAAATCAATAAAACATATTTAAAATCCCATAAAATGGTATGAGGATTGATTCTTTCTGCATGTTTATTCTCGTTTTGTTTTGTTTTTTTGAAAGTCAGTGCTGCCTAAATATAAATACAAATTCATGTGGGTCCATTGAAACCACTGGGACACGTTCATAATGAAGTGACTGCTAAAAAGTCTGGAAGAGTGGCATCAAAGGAAGAACAAGGTGACTTGTAGTAGCCAAGAGTTGGAGATATCTCTCCCCTGATGGGAAATTAGTCTGTGTCCATTGGCTGTCTTTGCAGGGAGGTCTTAGTTATTGTGGACTTTTAGAATAGATGAGACCAAAGATAACAGACAAGTGAACTCATTACAATCCTGTCTGTCCCCATTTTAACCACATGCTTACACTATCAAGATCTGCTTTTCGGTTATGACTGTGGTCAAGTACATAAACTTATTGGATGTGTCATGTTTTCTTATCTTCCAATGGACCAGTTCTAGAAAAAATTCTGAGATGTTAAAATTTGAACAAGAAAGAGCAACAAATTTGGATAATTTAAAGGCAAGAAAGGATTCCTAATTGGGGACTGGCCTGTAGAATTCTGCATTTTACTGCTCTTGATTTGGGATTTCATTTGAGAGGCCATAGTTTCAGGGTGGTAATGAATGTTTCATGACTTTTTGACTCAAGGTACTGTAGTCAATATTATAATATACAGTAAAAGGAGTACTGGGAAAAAATTATTAAATGGCAGCTGTTTCAGGGATTAAATGTGAAAAGACAGGAAATTGTAGAGAGAAGCATTAAGTAATCAGATACATTAAGAAATGTGCCGAAACCGATTTGGCTCAATAGCTAGAGCGTCGGCCTGAGGGCTGAAGGGTCCTGGGTTCGATTCTGGTCAAGGGCATGTACCTTGTTTGCGGGCACATCCCCAGGAGGGGGTGTGCAAGAGGCAGCTGATCGATGATTCTCTCTCATCAATGTTTCTAACTCTCTTTCCCTCTCACTTCCTCTCTGTAAAAAATCAATAAAGTTAAAAAAAGAAAAAAAAGAAAAAAGAAATGTGACTGAGGTAAAATTTAAGGTGAATGGCTTTACACCAGTATGAGGACCAGTTAAGCCAATGTCGGTAAGATAGGTTGAAATGTGAGAATATTGAAAGGGTGCTGAATGGTTTGTGCAGCATATTTTCATGTGCCTACCACATGAACAAAATGCCTATTCTCATGGAGCGGAAAAGGCATTCTAAGTGAGAGGAAAGCATCCATAAATGATACAGGGACAAGCAGGGAGAGGGGTGCTATTGTAGGGACCTGGGAGGATTCCTCTATGAAATTTGAACAAACAGATGCCTGAAGAGGGAGCTGGCCATGCTCTTCTCTGAGAGATGTGTGTTTGAGGCAGAAGAAACAAGTGTGAAGACTCCAAGATTGGGTGTCTTTGCACTTAAACTCAAATCAGCAAAGAAAAGAGACTACAGCTAGGGCAGAATAGGGTAGGAGGAAGTAGGAGGTAAGTAGAGGAGGAGAGTTCGATTAGATAAAAAATTACTTTTTTATTCCTATAGGGAATTTATTCCTCTGTATTTGAAGGACCCAAAATAGGAGAGTCATGATCTGACTTGTAATAGAGACAAGAAACCATTTGCTGGCTGCTGGTTGGTTACAAGGGCAAGAGGGAAGCAAGGAGACTATTGGGGTAATCTGGGCAAGAAGCAAAGGAACGTGGATCCTGTGGGGTGGGTGGAGATGGTGACACGTGATTAGAGTCTGCCCCGGCCAGGTTGAGGCATTTCTTGATGTTATGTGTAGCATGTGAGAAAGAGAGGCATTAAAGACTCCAACATTTTAAACTTGAGCAACTGGAAGGAAGAAACGGCTAGCAACTGAAATGGAGGCAATGGCAGGGAACAACTGTTTGGAGGAAGATTCAGAGTTCAGTTTTGACCCTATCAAAGCTGAGATGCCTCTAAGACACCCAAGTGGGGTTTTCAAATAGGCATTAGTTCAGGAAAAAGAGCAGGGCTTGACCTAAACATCTGGGACTCTCTGGTTTTAAAATGTTAGCTATAACCACGATCCCAGAGTCCTAAAAATGGCATTTCCCTGTTGCTGTGATGTAGATCTTTGTCTGTCTTTCCTCATCTTCCTGACCTCTACACGGGGGCTGATTATAGCACTCAGTTCTCTGAGCGATTCTTATCTTTTTGTCTCCATAATGATTTTATTATCTTAAAATTGTTTGCCACAGACAGAGACGAGCTTCTGATTCTTACAGTTCTCTACCAGAGAGAGATTGTTCTCTTTGTTCCCATTGGAAAGCCCCCAAGAAGACCCCATCGATGGCTTGGCCCTGATGTAAGTGGGGAGAGGGAGAACACAGATGTGGCTACTAAGCAGGGGTCGTGTTTCTTGGAGTGTGGGACTCCAGAGAAGAGAGATTTCTTTTCACCTGTGCAGTCATTTTTGTTTTCTATGCTGGAAACAATAATAGCCTTATAGATATATACAGCCTTACAAATATATACTAATTGCCTTCTGAATATTTTGACTCTCCTACTCTGTGCTGGCTTTTGGCAAACGTTTAATACTTTCTATGTTTTGGAGGGTCTTGACTTGCTTGAAAGTCAGATAAGGAAATAATGGTCCCTCTTCCTCTCTACTTTTACTTTTCTTTCCCCAACTTCTTATTCTGCAAATTTTAAACATACAAAAGAAAGTTGGGACAGTCGTGGACAATGTCACTTCCTAAATGTTCCCATGTGCTGTAAA